GTCCTTGAAAAAATATTCTTTAAAAAATCCACGTTTGTTGGAGTGGCGGTCCTTGAAAAAATATTCTTTAAAAAATCCACGTTTCTTGGTTTGAGGGTCCTTGAAAAAATATTCTTTAAAAAATCCACGTTTCTTGGAGTGGCGGTCCTTGAAAAAATATTCTTTAAAAAATCCACGTTTCTTGGTTTGAGGGTCCTTGAAAAAATATTCTTTAAAAAATCCACGTTTCTTGGTTTGAGGGTCCTTGAAAAAATATTCTTTAAAAAATCCACGTTTCTTGGTTTGAGGGTCCTTGAAAAAATATTCTTTAAAAAATCCACGTTTCTTGGAGTGGCGGTCCTTGAAAAAATATTCTTTAAAAAATCCACGTTTCTTGGTTTGAGGGTCCTTGAAAAAATATTCTTTAAAAAATCCACGTTTCTTGGTTTGAGGGTCCTTGAAAAAATATTCTTTAAAAAATCCACGTTTCTTGGTTTGAGGGTCCTTGAAAAAATATTCTTTAAAAAATCCACGTTTCTTGGTTTGAGGGTCCTTGAAAAAATATTCTTTAAAAAATCCACGTTTCTTGGAGTGGCGGTCCTTGAAAAAATATTCTTTAAAAAATCCACGTTTCTTGGAGTGGCGGTCCTTAAAAAAAATATTCTTTAAAAAATCCACGTTTCTTGGAGTGGCGGTCCTTGAAAAAATATTCTTTAAAAAAATCCACGTTTCTTGGCCTTTTGGTCCTTGAAAAAATATTCTTTAAAAAATCCACGTTTGTTGGAGTGGCGGTCCTTGAAAAAATATTCTTTAAAAAATCCACGTTTCTTGGTTTGAGGGTCCTTGAAAAAATATTCTTTAAAAAATCCACGTTTCTTGGAGTGGCGGTCCTTGAAAAAATATTCTTTAAAAAATCCACGTTTCTTGGTTTGAGGGTCCTTGAAAAAATATTCTTTAAAAAATCCACGTTTCTTGGTTTGAGGGTCCTTGAAAAAATATTCTTTAAAAAATCCACGTTTCTTGGTTTGAGGGTCCTTGAAAAAATATTCTTTAAAAAATCCACGTTTCTTGGTTTGAGGGTCCTTGAAAAAATATTCTTTAAAAAATCCACGTTTCTTGGAGTGGCGGTCCTTGAAAAAATATTCTTTAAAAAATCCACGTTTCTTGGAGTGGCGGTCCTTAAAAAAATATTCTTTAAAAAATCCACGTTTCTTGGAGTGGCGGTCCTTGAAAAAATATTCTTTAAAAAATCCACGTTTCTTGGTTTGAGGGTCCTTGAAAAAATATTCTTTAAAAAATCCACGTTTGTTGGAGTGGCGGTCCTTGAAAAAATATTCTTTAAAAAATCCACGTTTCTTGGTTTGAGGGTCCTTGAAAAAATATTCTTTAAAAAATCCACGTTTCTTGGAGTGGCGGTCCTTGAAAAAATATTCTTTAAAAAATCCACGTTTCTTGGTTTGAGGGTCCTTGAAAAAATATTCTTTAAAAAATCCACGTTTCTTGGTTTGAGGGTCCTTGAAAAAATATTCTTTAAAAAATCCACGTTTCTTGGTTTGAGGGTCCTTGAAAAAATATTCTTTAAAAAATCCACGTTTCTTGGAGTGGCGGTCCTTGAAAAAATATTCTTTAAAAAATCCACGTTTCTTGGTTTGAGGGTCCTTGAAAAAATATTCTTTAAAAAATCCACGTTTCTTGGTTTGAGGGTCCTTGAAAAAATATTCTTTAAAAAATCCACGTTTCTTGGTTTGAGGGTCCTTGAAAAAATATTCTTTAAAAAATCCACGTTTCTTGGTTTGAGGGTCCTTGAAAAAATATTCTTTAAAAAATCCACGTTTCTTGGAGTGGCGGTCCTTGAAAAAATATTCTTTAAAAAATCCACGTTTCTTGGAGTGGCGGTCCTTAAAAAAATATTCTTTAAAAAATCCACGTTTCTTGGAGTGGCGGTCCTTGAAAAAATATTCTTTAAAAAATCCACGTTTCTTGGCCTTTTGGTCCTTGAAAAAATATTCTTTAAAAAATCCACGTTTGTTGGAGTGGCGGTCCTTGAAAAAATATTCTTTAAAAAATCCACGTTTCTTGGTTTGAGGGTCCTTGAAAAAATATTCTTTAAAAAATCCACGTTTCTTGGAGTGGCGGTCCTTGAAAAAATATTCTTTAAAAAATCCACGTTTCTTGGTTTGAGGGTCCTTGAAAAAATATTCTTTAAAAAATCCACGTTTCTTGGTTTGAGGGTCCTTGAAAAAATATTCTTTAAAAAATCCACGTTTCTTGGTTTGAGGGTCCTTGAAAAAATATTCTTTAAAAAATCCACGTTTCTTGGTTTGAGGGTCCTTGAAAAAATATTCTTTAAAAAATCCACGTTTCTTGGTTTGAGGGTCCTTGAAAAAATATTCTTTAAAAAATCCACGTTTCTTGGTTTGAGGGTCCTTGAAAAAATATTCTTTAAAAAATCCACGTTTCTTGGTTTGAGGGTCCTTGAAAAAATATTCTTTAAAAAATCCACGTTTCTTGGTTTGAGGGTCCTTGAAAAAATATTCTTTAAAAAATCCACGTTTCTTGGTCTAAGGGTGCTTGGAAAAAATTCTTTAAAAAATCCACGTTTCTTGGTCTTTTGGTTTTTGAAAAAATATTCTTTAAAAAATCCACGTTTCTTGGAGTGGCGGTCCTTAAAAAATATTCCTTAAAAAATCCACGTTTCTTGGAGTGGCGGTCCTTAAAAAATATTCTTTAAAAAATCCACGTTTCTTTGAGTGGCGGTCCTTGAAAAAATATTCTTTAAAATATCCACGTTTCTTGGAGTGGCGGTTCTTGAAAAAATATTCTTTAAAAAATCCACGTTTCTTGGTCTTTTGGTTGTTGAAAAAATATTCTTTAAAAAATCCACGTTTCTTGGTCTTTTGGTTGTTGAAAAAATATTCTTTAAAAAATCAACGTTTCTTGGTCTTTTGGTTGTTGAAAAAATATTCTTTAAAAAATCCACGTTTCTTGGTCTTTTGGTTGTTGAAAAAATATTCTTTAAAAAATCCACGTTTCTTGGTCTTTTGGTTTTTGAAAAAATATTCTTTAAAAAATCCACGTTTCTTGGAGTGGCGGTCCTTAAAAAATATTCCTTAAAAAATCCACGTTTCTTGGAGTGGCGGTCCTTAAAAAAATATTCTTTAAAAAATCCACGTTTCTTTGAGTGGCGGTCCTTGAAAAAATATTCTTTAAAATATCCACGTTTCTTGGAGTGGCGGTTCTTGAAAAAATATTCTTTAAAAAATCCACGTTTCTTGGAGTGGCGGTCCTTGAAAAAATATTCTTTAAAAAATCCACGTTTCTTGGAGTGGCGGTCCTTAAAAAAATATTCTTTAAAAAATCCACGTTTCTTGGTCTTTTGGTTGTTGAAAAGATATTCTTTAAAAAATCCACGTTTCTTGGTCTTTTGGTTGTTGAAAAAATATTCTTTAAAAAATCCACGTTTCTTGGTCTTTTGGTTGTTGAAAAAATATTTTTTAAAAAATCCACGGTTCTTGGAGTGGCGGTCCTTGAAAAAATATTCTTTAAAAAATCTACGGTTCTTGGAGTGGCGGTCCTTGAAAGAATATTCTTTAAAAAATCCACGCTTCTTGGAGTGGCGGTCCTTGAAAAAATATTCTTTAAAAAATTCACGTTTCTTGGAGTGGCGGTCCTTGAAAAAATATTCTTTAAAAAATCCACGTTTCTTGGAGCGGCGGTCCTTGAAAAAATATTCTTTAAAAAATCCACGTTTCTTGTTTTAAGGGTTCTTGAAAATATATTCTTTAAAAAATCCAAGTTTCTTTAACTGATGGTCCTTGAAAAAATATTCTTTAAAAAATCCACGTTTCTTGGAGTGGCGGTACTTGAAAAAATATTCTTTAAAAAATCCACGTTTCTTGGAGTGGCGGTCCTTGAAAAAATATTCTTTAAAAAATCCACGTTTCATCAACTGATGGTCCGTAAAAAAATATTCTTTAAAAAATCCACGTTTCTTCAACTGAGTGTCCTTGGAAAAATATTCTTTGAAAAATCCACGTTTCTTCAACTGATGGTCCTTGAAAAAATATTCTTTAAAAAATCCACGTTTCTTCAACTGAGTGTCCTTGGAAAAATATTCTTTGAAAAATCCACGTTTCTTCAACTGATGGTCCTTGAAAAAATATTCTTTAAAAAATCCACGTTTCTTGGTCTTTTCGTCCTTGAAAAATATTCTTTAAAAAATCCACGTTTATTATTCAAAGGGTCCTTGGAAAATATTCTTTAAAAAATCCAAGTTTCTTGGTCTTTCGGTCCTTGAAAAAATCCACATTTCTTGGTCTTTTGGTCCCTTGAAAAAATATTCTTAAAAATTCCACGTTTCTTGGTCTTTGAAATAATATTCTTTAAAAAATCCACGTTTTTTGGTCCTTGAAAAAATATTCTTTAAAAATTCTTTAAATATTCTTTGAAAAATTCTTTAAAAATCTTGTAAACTTTTACCTCCCAAAAGAAATTTAATAAAACCATTGACACAAACCAAATGAAGGTGGTGAAATTGTGGTGAATTTAACGCTATTTTCATTCGTGGTGGAATCACTGTTTCTCTAGATGTCGTTGTAGTCAATTTTCACAGATATAAGATATGGAAGGTATAGGGAGTAAAATGCCCCAAGACAAATTCAAAAACTTGTATATCAGTAGTGCCACATTCTTCCGTCTCGTTGAAGGATAATAATAAAAAATTATTAACAACTACAGCATACACACATTCCCACATAGACGTCTTCTTATCCTCTTTTCCCATGTCCGTGAATTTTCCTCTAACATGATTTTTATTGGACCCTGAGATGCGGGGCCTTAACAAATCGCAAAGATAGGACTTTTCAAAATTTAGGACCAAGAATTGCAAGCATTCGTACGACCAAGTATTTCAAGCTTTTTCACAGCCTCCATATTTAAATCAGCTACAGTTACCCACATGTCAGGCCAGATTCCATCCACAATTTCCAACAAATGTCCCGATCCAAATACTGCCAACAATGTTTTGCTTTATAAAAATTTATAAAATGTATTTTGTTTATATAATAAACTAATGTAAATTCAAATACATTGTTTGTTATAATAGATAGACAGAAGATTAATTAAAATATAATTTGTTGGCAATTTTCATCTTTAGTTTTAAGTTGGTGAAATGACGATAATTTTTACACAGTAAAATTAATAATTAAAAAAAGAAAAACTACTAATTTCTATGCAATTGTACGATACGAAAGAAAACCACAAGTCGCTTATATAATACGAAGGAACTTGGTGTGTTTAAAATAATGGGTAGTAAAATCAAATGGTTGATAAGTTCAGTGGAAACGAAAATATGTCAATTCAGATTCAGTTATGTGGGTGGGGGTGTTGTGGACATGTATGGTGTAGTTTTTTTTTTTCTGAAACCAGTTCAGCAGCATGATATGCAAAAATAGAGAGATGGAGTGGTTTGTTATAGTTTTGCATTGTGTTTGATTAATTCCATTCTTCTTCTTCTTCCAGGGCAGCTGGCCCAGATGAGGTAACAAAGTTGTCGTCGTTCTAAAAAAAAACAAGGGTAAATAATTTTTAGGTTTGTTAAAACATAGAAAACCAAAAGGTCTTCTCATAGAAGACCAATAGGTCTTCTCACAGAAGACCAATAGGTCGGTCTTCTCACAGAAGACCTATAAGCCTTCTCAAAGAAGACCAATAGGTCTTCTCATATAGAAGACCATAAGGTCTTCTCATCTAGAAGACCATAAGGTCTTCTCATCTAGAAGACCATAAGGTCTTCTCATATAGAAGACCATAAGGTCTTCTGATATAGAAGACCATAAGGTCTTCTGATATAGAAGACCATAAGGTCTTCTGATATAGAAGACCATAAGGTCTTCTGATATAGAAGACCATAAGGTCTTCTGATATAGAAGACCATAAGGTCTTCTGATATAGAAGACCATAAGGTCTTCTGATATAGAAGACCATAAGGTCTTCTGATATAGAAGACCATAAGGTCTTCTGATATAGAAGACCAAGAGGTCTTCTCATAGAAGACCAAGAGGTCTTCCCATAGAAGACTAAAAGGTCTGCTCTTAGAAGACTAAAAGGTCTTCTCTTAGAAGACTAGAAGGTCTTCTAATAGAAGATCAATAGGTCTTCTCATATAGAAGACCATAAGGTCTTCTCATATAGAAGACCATAAGGTCTTCTCATATAGAAGACCATAAGGTCTTCTCATATAGAAGACCATAAGGTCTTCTCATATAGAAGACCATAAGGTCTTCTCATATAGAAGACCATAAGGTCTTCTCATAGAAGACCATAAGGTCTTCTCATATAGAAGACCATAAGGTCTTCTCATATAGAAGACCATAAGGTCTTCTCATATAGAAGACCATGAGGTCTTCTCATATAGAAGACCGTGAGGTCTTCTCATATAGAAGACCATAAGGTCTTCTCATATAGAAGACCATAAGGTCTTCTCATATAGAAGACCATAAGGTCTTCTCATATAGAAGACCATAAGGTCTTCTCATATAGAAGACCATAAGGTCTTCTCATATAGAAGACCATAAGGTCTTCTCATATAGAAGACCATAAGGTCTTCTCATATAGAAGACCATAAGGTCTTCTCATAGAAGTCTAAAAGGTCTTCTCATAGAAGTCTAAAAGGTCTTCTCATAGAAGTCTAAAAGGTCTTCCCATAGAACACCATAGGGTCTTCTCACAGAAGGCCAAAAGATCTTCTCATAGAAGGCCTTCTTAGAGAAGACCTATAGGGCGGACAAATAAAAAAATGCAACAATCACACCCACCTGTGGCACATTTTTGCGCACATCCCGTCCACCGAAACGGCTGCCATTACCATAATCGCCGCCACCACCTCCACTGCTAAAGTTCTGCAAGAAATCAGGTACTTCTTGGCCGGCTCCTTCCAAGATCTTAACCAAATCACCAGCAATGGCTGTATCATTTTCCGGGTCAAAGAAGCTGGTGGCACGACCATTATTGCCCACACGCCCCGTGCGTCCAATACGATGGACATATTCATCAATGGATGTGGGCAGATCATAGTTCACAACATGATTGACATTTTTAATGTCAAGACCTCGAGCCGCTACAGAGGTGGCAATTAATACCTTCATTTTACCCGATTTAAAATCGGCCAAAGCTTCTTCCCGCTGACGCTGCAAACGATCACCGTGAATGGAGGTAGTGGGGAATTCCGTTTCCGACAGCAGTGAGGCCAAGAAATCGGCACCACGTTTTGTTTCCACAAAGACAATGGTACCATTGGGATTTTCTTGCAAGAGTTCCTGGGGGGAGGGGAAAAATTAAGACTTAATAATAGAAAAACTTATGATCCCCGAGACAGCACTACTCACCATCAATTTGGCACGTTTCTGGTATTTCTTCACCTCGTAAACGTTTTGTGTGACATCGGAACAGGCCCCACCGACCACACCAATGGCAATGAAAATATATTCATTCAAATATTCCCCTGCCATTCGCTGTATCTCGGCCGGGAAGGTGGCCGAAAACATAAGATTCTGCCGCTGATCCATGCTACGCATTGTGGGATGATTCATGATGGTGGCAACACTCTCCTTGAAACCCATATCCAACATACGATCCGCCTCATCGAGCACCACAAAACGTGTCTCTTCGAAGGTGATGAAACCCTTTTCCACAAAATCCAATAGACGTCCCGGAGTGGCAATTAGAATGTGAGTGCCACCACGACCGATCTTTTCACCCTGATGCTTGGACGACGTACCGCCATAGACAATTTGTGTATTGATATAAGAGTCCATGGAGAATTTGCGTGCTTCATTGTATATTTGTATGGCCAATTCACGGGTGGGTGAGACAATCAATGCCTGTGGTTTGCCGATCGACGTTTCACAGCCCTCATTCAACAGGGAATTGATAATGGGCAAAAGGAATGCTGCAGTTTTGCCGGATCCAGTTTGGGCGCAGGCCATTAAATCGCGCCCCGAGGATATCACTGGAATGGCTGTCTTTTGAATGGGTGTTGGCAGTTTATAGCCCGAGCGTTTGACATTATTCAAGACCAATTCACGAAAGGCGGCCTCTTCGAAACTTTGTATGGCTGGAGGTGCATTTTCACCAGTTACCTGAAAAGACAAGAGGAAAGGGGGGTTTAGAAGAAACTATAAAAAAATATATTTTTCAGAAATCTCACCTGCACTGGTATACTGTCATATTTGGAGAAATTAATGCCACTGGTTATACCACTGCCAAAAATTTCTTCCTCATTGTCGGTGGGTTCTGGAGGTATATAGAATTCACGTGGCTTCTGGGGCTCGCCGCCTTCTTCCTTGTCACCAAATTCGTTTTCACCTTTGTTGTTGTTAAATTCTCGACGACCACCGCCATCACGATCGCCACGACCGCGTCCACGTCCGCCACCGAAACCACGACGTTCGCCTAAAATTAGAAAAAAGCGTAAACAAAAAAATGCTATAATTTTTTACAAAAATTTTTTAAAGATTATTTTTTCAAGGACCCAAAGACCAAGAAACGTGGATTTTTTAAAGAATATTTTTTCAAGGACCAAAAGATGAAGAAACGTGGATTTTTTAAAGAATATTTTTTTCAAGGACCAAAAGACCAAGAAACGTGGATTTTTTAAAGAATATTTTTTCAAGGACCACGAAACGTGGATTTTTTAAAGAATATTTTTTAAGGACCAAGAAACGTGGATTTTTTAAAGAATATTTTTTCAAGGACCAAAAGACCAAGAAATGTGGATTTTTTAAAGAATATTTTTTCAAGGACCACGAAACGTGGATTTTTTAAAGAATATTTTTTTAAGGACCAAGAAACGTGGATTTTTTAAAGAATATTTTTTCAAGGACCATCAGTTGAAGAAATGTGGATTTTTTAAAGAATATTTTTTCAAGGACCATCAGTTGAAGAAACGTGGATTTTTTAAAGAATATTTTTTCAACGACCATCAGTTGAAGAAACGTGGATTTTTTAAATAATATTTTTTCAACGACCATCAGTTGAAGAAACGTGGATTTTTTAAAGAATATTTTTTCAACGACCATCAGTTGAAGAAACGTGGATTTTTTAAAGAATATTTTTTCAAGGACCATCAGTTGAAGAAACGTGGATTTTTTAAAGAATATTTTTTCAAGGACCATCAGTTGAAGAAACGTGGATTTTTTAAAGAATATTTTTTCAACGACCATCAGTTGAAGAAACGTGGATTTTTAAAGAATATTTTTTCAACGACCATCAGTTGAAGAAACGTGGATTTTTTAAAGAATATTTTTTCAAGGACCATCAGTTGAAGAAACGTGGATTTTTTAAAGAATATTTTTTCAACGACCATCAGTTGAAGAAACGTGGATTTTTTAAATAATATTTTTTCAACGACCATCAGTTGAAGAAACGTGGATTTTTTAAAGAATATTTTTTCAACGACCATCAGTTGAAGAAACGTGGATTTTTTAAAGAATATTTTTTCAACGACCATCAGTTGAAGAAACGTGGATTTTTTAAAGAATATTTTTTCAACGACCATCAGTTGAAGAAACGTGGATTTTTTAAAGAATATTTTTTCAACGACCATCAGTTGAAGAAACGTGGATTTTTTAAAGAATATTTTTTCAACGACCATCAGTTGAAGAAACGTGGATTTTTTAAAGAATATTTTTTCAACGACCATCAGTTGAAGAAACGTGGATTTTTTAAAGAATATTTTTTCAAGGACCCTTAAACCAAGAAACGTGGATTTTATAAAGAATATTTTTTCAACAACCAAAAGACCAAGAAACGTGGATTTTTTAAAGAATATTTTTTCAAGGACCCTTAAACCAAGAAACGTGGATTTTATAAAGAATATTTTTTCAACAACCAAAAGACCAAGAAACGTGGATTTTTTAAAGAATATTTTTTCAACAACCAAAAGACCAAGAAACGTGGATTTTTTAAAGAATATTTTTTCAACAACCAAAAGACCAAGAAACGTGGATTTTTTAAAGAATATTTTTTCAACAACCAAAAGACCAAGAAACGTGGATTTTTTAAAGAATATTTTTTCAACAACCAAAAGACCAAGAAACGTGGATTTTTTAAAGAATATTTTTTCAACAACCAAAAGACCAAGAAACGTGGATTTTTTAAAGAATATTTTTTCAACAACCAAAAGACCAAGAAACGTGGATTTTTTAAAGAATATTTTTTCAACAACCAAAAAACCAAGAAACGTGGATTTTTTAAAAAATATTTTTTCAAGGACCCAAAGACCAAGAAACGTGGATTTTTTAAAGAATATTTTTTCAAGGACCCAAAGACCAAGAAACGTGGATTTTTTAAAGAATATTTTTTCAAGGACCAAATTACCAGGAAACGTGGATTTTTAAAGAATATTTTTTCAACAACCAAAAGACCAAGAAACGTGGATTTTTAAAGAATATTTTTTCAACAACCAAATTACCAGGAAACGTGGATTTTTTAAAGAATATTTTTTCAAGGACCAAAAGACCAAGAAACTTGAATTTTTTTAAAGAATATTTTTTCAACAACCAATAGACCAAGAAACGTGGATTTTTTAAAGAATATTTTTTCAATAACCAAAAGACCAAGAAACGTGGATTTTTTAGAGAATATTTTTCCAAGGACCATCAGTTGATGAAACGTGGATTTTTTAAAAAATATTTTTTCAAGGACCCAAAGACCAAGGAACGTGGATTTTTTAAAGAATATATTTTCAAGGACCCAAAGACCAAGAAACGTGGATTTTTTAAAGAATATTTTTTCAATAACCAAAAGACCAAGAAACGTGGATTTTTTAAAGAATATTTTTTCAACAACCAAAAGACCAAGAAACGTGGATTTTTAAAGAATATTTTTTCAACAACCAAATTACCAGGAAACGTGGATTTTTTAAAGAATATTTTTTCAAGGACCAAAAGACCAAGAAACTTGAATTTTTTAAAGAATATTTTTTCAACAACCAATAGACCAAGAAACGTGGATTTTTTAAAGAATATTTTTTCAATAACCAAAAGACCAAGAAACGTGGATTTTTTAGAGAATATTTTTTCAATAACCAAAAGACCAAGAAACGTGGATTTTTTAAAAAATATTTTTTCAAGGACCCAAAGACCAAGAAACGTGGATTTTTTAAAGAATATTTTTTCAAGGACCCAAAGACCAAGAAACGTGGATTTTTTAAAGAATATTTTTTCAATAACCAAAAGACCAAGAAACGTGGATTTTTTAGAGAATATTTTTTCAATAACCAAAAGACCAAGAAACGTGGATTTTTTAAAGAATATTTTTTCAATAACCAAAAGACCAAAAAACGTGGATTTTTTAAAGAATATTTTTTCAAGGACCCAAAGACCAAGAAACGTGGATTTTTTAAAGAATATTTTTTCAATAACCAAAAGACCAAGAAACGTGGATTTTTTAGAGAATATTTTTTCAATAACCAAAAGACCAAGAAACGTGGATTTTTTAAAGAATATTTTTTCAAGGACCATAAGACCAAGAAAAGACCATCAGTTGAAGAAATGTGGATTTTTTAAAGAATATTTTTTCAAGGGCCATCAGTTGAAGAAACGTGGATTTTTTAAAGAATATTTTTTCAAGGACCATCAGTTGAAGAAACGTGGATTTTTTAAAGAATATTTTTTCAAGGACCATCAGTTGAAGAAACGTGGATTTTTTAAAGAATATTTTTTCAAGGACCATCAGTTGAAGAAACGTGGATTTTTTAAAGAATATTTTTTCAAGGACCATCAGTTGAAGAAACGTGGATTTTTTAAAGAATATTTTTTCAAGAATATTTTTTCAAGGACCATCAGTTGAAGAAACGTGGATTTTTTAAAGAATATTTTTTCAAGAATATTTTTTCAAGAATATTTTTTCAAGGACCATCAGTTGAAGAAACGTGGATTTTTTAAAGAATATTTTTTCAAGAATATTTTTTCAAGAATATTTTTTCAAGGACCATCAGTTGAAGAAACGTGGATTTTTTAAAGAATATTTTTTCAAGGACCATCAGTTGAAGAAACGTGGATTTTTTAAAGAATATTTTTTCAAGGACCATCAGTTGAAGAAACGTGGATTTTTTAAAGAATATTTTTTCAAGGACCATCAGTTGAAGAAACGTGGATTTTTTAAAGAATATTTTTTCAAGGACCATCAGTTGAAGAAACGTGGATTTTTTAAAGAATATTTTTTCAAGGACCATCAGTTGAAGAAACGTGGATTTTTTAAAGAATATTTTTTCAAGGACCATCAGTTGAAGAAACGTGGATTTTTTAAAGAATATTTTTTCAAGGACCATCAGTTGAAGAAACGTGGATTTTTTAAAGATTTTCTTTTCAAGGACCATCAGTTGAAGAAACTTGGATTTTTTAAAGAATATTTTTTCAAGGACCATCAGTTGAAGAAACTTTGATTTTTTAAAGAATATTTTTTCAAGGACCATCAGTTGAAGAAACGTGGATTTTTTAAAGAATATTTTTTCAAGGGCCAAGAAACGTGGATTTTTAAAGAATATTTTTTCAAGGGCCAAGAAACGTGGATTTTCTAAAGAATATTTTTTCAAAGACCATCAGTTGAAGAAACGTGGATTTTTTAAACAATATTTTTTTCAAGGACCATCAGTTGAAGAAACGTGGATTTTTTAAAGAATATTTTTTCAAGAACCAAAAGACCAAGAAACGTGGATTTTTTAAAGAATATTTTTTCAAGGACCAAAAGACCAAGAAACGTGGATTTTTTAAAGAATATTTTTTCAAGGACCAAAAGACCAAGAAACGTGGATTTTTTAAAGAATATTTTTTCAAGGACCAAAAGACCAAGAAACGTGGATTTTTTAAAGAATATTTTTTCAAGGACCAAAAGACCAAGAAACGTGGATTTTTTAAAGAATATTTTTTCAAGGACCAAAAGACCAAGAAACGTGGATTTTTAAAGAATATTTTTTCAAGGACCAAAAGACCAAGAAACGTGGATTTTTTAAAGATTTTCTTTTCAAGGACCATCAGTTGAAGAAACTTGGATTTTTTAAAGAATATTTTTTCAAGGACCATCAGTTGAAGAAACTTTGATTTTTTAAAGAATATTTTTTCAAGGACCATCAGTTGAAGAAACGTGGATTTTTTAAAGAATATTTTTTCAAGGACCATCAGTTGAAGAAACGTGGATTTTTTAAAGATTTTCTTTTCAAGGACCATCAGTTGAAGAAACTTGGATTTTTTAAAGAATATTTTTCAAGGACCATCAGTTGAAGAAACTTTGATTTTTTAAAGAATATTTTTTCAAGGACCATCAGTTGAAGAAACGTGGATTTTTTAAAGAATATTTTTTCAAGGGCCAAGAAACGTGGATTTTTTAAAGAATATTTTTTCAAGGGCCAAGAAACGTGGATTTTCTAAAGAATATTTTTTCAAAGACCATCA